CGCGGCCATTTGTCTGTCCCGTTGCGTTTTAATTGGAATCGCTGGTCGAGCGAAGACGACCGTTGGCGCAGTATAACGATTGCTAGTATAAATGTGATTACATCCCTTCCTTGTTTTTGTACTATCCCCAAGGGTGCAGATCTGTTTTTGAAATATGGGTGGGGCATTTCGTGCGAACATTTTGGGAAATTGTACCTCTAGATGAACGGAAAAGACGTAATGGTTTTTATATAGTGAAATTTATTATCATCACATTATCATTACATACAGTATTCAAAATGAAGTGCCAACAAATTTCTTATGGTCTTTTATCAGCGATTTTTGGCAACCATAAAGATCTAATAATTATTTGTGACGTAGAAAACAAAACTTAAAAACAATGTTTTTGATGTATTTACTTGAACTGCTTCGTGAGTCCAACCACCTCAGCCCCGCCATGGTTTGGGCTGTGGTGGAAAAATGAGGAAATAATACCGCTAGATGGCCGGAAATTATACTTTTAGGCCTATATACCTGTATAGGAAAATTCATTATCACATCACCATTATATTGTCAAAATGGAACGCCAAAAATCTTTATCAGCAATTTTTCTGCAACCATAGAGATCTAATCAGTATGGGTGAAAAACACTTTCTTTGATGTATTTAATTTACTTAACCTACTTCAAAGCCATGAACCCACATCCAGCTTATCTCCACTATCGTTGGAGCTGAGGTGAGGAAATTTTAGGAAATAGTACCTCTAGATATAGTAAAATTCATCATCACAACATCACCATTATATGGTCGAAATAAAGCGCCAACAAATTCTCGTGATCTTCTATCAGCAATTTTCTATCAACGAAACCAAATTATTATGTGTGATACACCATAGAAAATAAGACTTTGGGGAAACGGTACCTTTAGATTGCCGGATATGACATTCTTATATAGTACAATTCTTCATCACCTATCTAATTAATCGCTGTGATGTAATGAATCTTAATTGTTTTTTATATATTTACCGTAAAAAGAAAGGGAAAAAAATCTAATCTTGTCTTTACACGCTTTTTCTTATACTTCTCAAATTATAGTAAAGGCATCCATGCGTAATTTGTGTCGTGTACCGGTATTATCAGTAATTCAGATGTCTGTGGGCAGAGATACCGGCATCTTGCTATAAAATAAGATGTACCCTGGCTGTACAGCGCTCTTTCGATAAACCCTGGGTCATTTATGGAGTTCTTTTCAACTTTTCAGGCATCTTCTTGACTTATAAAAATTCGTTGCGCATGAAAAGTGAGGGTGACCAACCCCACTCCCTTGAAATATGTGGGGGATGTGTCCCCCTGTCCCCCCACGAGGGACGTTTTGTAATCGGCAAACGATAGTTCCTAAACACTCTAACAGCTTGTTAATATTTGGTAAACTGATAAATAACACAAACATTAATAATTATAATTATACCACATACCGTATTAAATATACGTTTAATTTGTGGTTTCAATAAAATTAAACGCTTATGAAAAATTACAGTTTTGCTAGTTTTTAACTTCTCAAAATTCGAAAATACTTTAATTTTCAAAGAGGGAATTCAGTTGATCGTGGTATAAATATTTAAAAAAAAATACTGTACAATGAATAAAATAATATTATATATAGAGGGCGTTAAGTTAAATTGTACAACATTCGTTGAGAGTTATGCTATTATTATTTACTACAATTTATTTCCAGCTGTATTTAATGCCCTCTTGAGGTGCACCATCATTGTGTAATACAATGTAGCTGGCGGTTATTTGAATCTGTTCAACAATGAAGTCTCTGTGGTCTAATGGATATGACGCTCGCATTGACAGCGAGAGGTCGCAAGTTCAAATCTTGTCGGAGGCATTTTATTACACAGTGCATTTATTTACAGGACAGCATTCGATTGAGAGCTATGCTACACGATGTACATGTCCTTTATTCGAACACTGTATTTAGCTTTCTTTGATTATGACGATTCATATATAACTGAACAGTGATAACGGTTATCTTGATATATAGCCTATATATATACTGTCTCTTATACACATCTAGATGTGTATAAGAGACAGGCGTACGGTACCGTACGTACTAGAAATATTAGTGTTCGAATGTGAGTTGTTCTTACTCTCTAATTCAGGATTTTTTTTAATTCACATGTTTTCATATTGTAGCCGATTTCCATGTGCTCGGCTATCACACTACATGACCTGTCTCTTATACACATCTAGATGTGTATAAGAGACAGATGCTTCCCCGAATGGCGGGGGGCTATATCCCCCAGCCCCGTACAATATGCTAAATTTTGAATTGATAAAAATTGAAATATATAAATATCACAAAAAATATCTGAGTTTTACGCTACAATCGACAATAATAATAATAATAATACGACAATAATACAACCCCGAATACAACAAAAATGTTTATAATTCATTCAACTCCTTCATAATATAATGGGTTCGATTTCGATTCCACCTCAATATGCGACAGATCTGTTAATTCCTGGCAACTTTTTGTATTCTTTTCGTAGCTGAAAATGAAACATTTCTTATTCTGTCGACACCGATGTGCACAGGCAATCAGAGACTGCGCAGTAGAACACGAAATTACAGATGATGCGATATTTCTAGGAGATGTAGGCCTAATCCTTTGAAACAAATGTGGCCATGGATGACACTCTCTTTCTGAAATAAAACCATCAAAGTACATATTACCAATAGTAATAATAATAATAATAATAATAATAATGATAATAATAATAATAATAATAATAATAATAAACAACAAACTAGAGCATTCACTCTATAGAGTGCATACTTCTGCAAAGGCCGTGTATTGACGATTCCATATTTTCTTTTTTTATTTTTGAGAGGGACATTCAAGAGGGAAAAATCACATTTTTCTTGTTCTTTGACTTTTTCTTTCCTAAAGTTAATCATCTCTTTCTTATGATTATTATGTACCGTTCCAGTAAATGTTATGATATTCCATTCCTTAGTTTGTTCGTAATCTTGCTTACAGACAAACAGAAAGACAGACAGGAGTAAATACATAACCTCCTTGGAGAAGGTAATATTAATAAGAAAAAAATATTAATAAAAATATTAATATGAATATCAAAAGACACATACAAATACGTTATTATTATTATTATTATTATTAATATCATTATTATTATTAATATTAATTTTGGAAAAACACCAATATAACGACTTCTGCTTTGACAGACTTCTGACTTTACAGACTTTTTTGATAGATTTTCCACCTTTCTGAGGTCTTGTTTCAATACCGGAGAATTAATCGTAAAGATATATTATGCTTCAAACTTCCTCAGACAAAGAAGCAACAACACAAATTTCAGAATAATTAACAAGTTTATTTACAGCAAGTTTCGTTGTCTATCTAACAACGTCCTCAGTGCTCTACTGTTTAAACAAGAAATCAAGAAGTTTTAAAAACCATCCAAAAAGTCACACAGAAGTTGATATGAACTTTTAACAAATATTATTTAAATTATAGAATAATAAAAATAAGAACGAAAATATGAATACTAATGATAGTAACCCTTAATAGGGGAACCATTTCAAGCCTAAATATAGGTGTTATGACAATATAGGGCAGTAAAACACTGAAGAGGGTTCATAGGCCTACGGACCGAAAATTTGCTTGAAATACGTAGTATTATTATTATTATTATTATTATTATTATTATTATTATTATTATTATTATTATTATTATTATTATTATTATTATATTATTATTATTATTATTATTATTATTATTATTATTATTAATTATTATTATTATTATTATTATTATTATTATTATTATTATTATTATTCTAGGGACCACAGTGGAAATAAGTTGCTTTTTGTACTTTTCTGTGTTTTTATTCTTGAATGTTTTCACTTATAATTACTTCAGAATAAATAAATAAATAAAAATTATTATTATTATTATTATTATTATTATTATTATTATTATTATTATTATTATTATTATTATTATTATTATTATTACTATTATTATTAAATACTTAGAGTACCGATATGACGATCCTTAGCCACTTCCATCTCAGCTTCATCAAGTGCCCGGTCGTATACCTGTAACTTTGCTATCTTGAAATGCACACTTTCAGAACCAAACACCATCGGGCTTTCAAATGTGATATTTGAGAATGTCGTATTGGCCATACAGGCAATCTCTCCGTTTCGCCAAAGTTGTATTTTTCGTTCAAAACCATAGAAAGTAACGGCAAAGAAGGTCCACTCCTCATGGCGGACGACGTTGCATTGAATAACCTCTTTATCATTATAAATAACCGCTATTTGCGATATGGATACAAATTCGCTCGTTGACGCATGGATGATTTGAAATTGGCCGAATTCATATATGACTCCACTGGATCCATTAAAAGGAAACACGTAAAACGCCATCGTGAAGGTAGAACCTGCTACTTGATCAGGGAGGGGTATTGCAAGTCTCGTACGCAAATTTGGATTCACTACAATCGCTTCCCCTTTTTTACCAGTGAATCCGGTAGTAAACTGTGGAGCTGTTGATGCGTTTCCATCGTAACCATTTCCAGATACGTCGCGTAGCTGATAGATAACGTTCATTGGCCAGATTCCGATTGGGAAAAGGTCATCGCAATTAAGCTCTGTGAAGATCATAGAAGAGACTGTGTAGTAGATTTGTGATTTAAATACGATTAAATACAAATAGATAACAATCAGATTTATATTTATAGTGAAAAGTACAATTGGTGTACATCACAAAACACCTAAATCCTACCAAATATCAGGTTGGGAAGGTGATGTAAGACCCCCTACAAATTACCCCCACCACCTAGACTGGTTCATATTTTAATGTATTGGCAAAACATTCTAAATATGACAGTGTAGACAAAAATATGCCTATGTAGCACATGGACCAACTTTTTTCCCAACAAAGTAGCCTACCATCGGTGTAATTCACAAAAACCTAAATCCTACCTGATATATGGTTGTGAAGGTGGTGTAAGACCCCTGCAAATTACCTCCTCCCATCCCTATAATTTTCCAAAATACCAGTACGACCGTGGTTGGACTGAGGTGTACCTTTTTAAAAAGGGTTGCCTAAGTCGAAACTAAATCCGGCTATATAAAATTCATTTGAAAATTGAAAAATTGTTTAATGAATAGGTAAGGATTACTTTGTTCATTTTTATTAACCTTATCTATATGTAATTTTACGTCAATAATAAATATATAGTATAAGTATATCTTTTTTTTTCTCTTTTGTGGGAGTTGCACCCACTTTTATTTCATTTCTCTTTTCTTATTTTAATAACATTTTTTTTTCTTTTTTCTTTTTTTTACACATGAAATAATGACATACTTGTAATTATAAAGGCCATTGAATAATAATAATAATAATAGTGATAGTAATGATAATAATAATAATAATAATAATAATAATAATAATAATAATAATAATAATAATAATAATAATAATAATAATAATAATAATAATAATGACACTTTCTTATAATTTAACATCCACTAAAGGTTAGTCCCTTTAAAGCTGCATAGACAGTTTCGTAGTTTAACATTATTTTCATTATAATATTTTGAATAGATTTGTTTTTTCTAAAAAAAAAAACTTGAATATTAATACAAACTTGCTTAAATATTTTTTACATTCCCCCGTGAAATTTCTGTGTTTTAGACGCCCGAAAATAACATTTGAGGCGTTCTGGGCTATCGTTTTCTTTCTTTCTTTTTTTTTTCTTTTTTTTAACCTCTCAAAAGGTGGGGGGGGGGGTGCATATGCTACATAGGCTGGTTTTTGTCAACGCTGTCATATTTAGGATGTTTTGCCAATACATTAAGATATGAACTTGGTTAGGTGGTGGGTGTAATTTGTAGGGGGTATTACATCACCTCCCCAACCTGATATTCGGTAGGATTTAGGCTTTTTTGTCATGAATATCGATAGTACTTTGGTGAGAAAAAAAGTTGGTCCAGTGCTAAATGGGGTGCATTTTCTCTACACTGTTATATTTAGGAAGTTTTGCGAATGCATTAAGTGGGTATCTGGTGGGTAAACCCCAACATTAAAAATGTCTGGCAGTGGCCACTCATGATACCTGGTACTATGCCGAATATTTTCCAGTAGGTTTTATCAGGTTAACTCACAAGCTGATATAGGTCGATTTTTGGGGCGGGGTATAAGGGGGTGTCTGGCGGGTACACCTCACCAATAAAATGTCTGGCGGTGGCCATTCCTGATACCTAGTACTATGCCGAACATTTTCCAGTAGGTTTCATCGGGTTAACTCACAAGCTGATCTTGGTCAATTTTCGGGGCGGGGTATAAGGGAATGTCTGGCGGGTACACCCCATCATTAAAAATGTCTGGCGGTGGCCATTCCTGATACCTAGTACTATGCCGAATATATTTCAGTAGGTTTGGTCGGGTTAACTCACAAGCTTAATTCTGGGGTACCGGTTTTTTGCATCTGACAGCAATCCCCCACCATTGGAAATGTCTGGAATTGACAATTCATGACATCTTGAACTATGCTGATATTCTGATCGGTTTCACAAGTTGATCTAGCTCAATTTTGGTACCCTTTTTATGCCCCTTCTGACCACACCTACCACAATGGGACCGGCAGATGCCCATTTCCCTACATACGCAGGCACATAGACCATACGCACATAATTGGTACACTTTCCAGTTATGCTGACACCCCTGGGCTCCTGGTCTATTAATTTTCACTGTGTCGACTACAGCTGTTTAGACAAAAAAAAGGAGAGATTTTGACCTACGAACTACAGTATACACCGTAGCTTTCACATCACAGGGAATTTCATATTCCACAAGCAGCGAACACTGCTTTCGCGAGGGGAAGTCGGCATGCATTTTCTCACCTAACTGACCTAAAATAGTGCCTTCTGTAATTGTTGCCTTAATAAGTGTATGGGGAAAAATAATGCGTGCCAGAGTACCCTCTGTAATTTTTGCCTTAAGTGGATGGAGAAAAAAATAATGCGTGCCGGCAGCCTACACGTTTCATAATCCACCCAAACACAATGAATCAAGTAAACGTAACTTTGCTAATTCTCAACAACATTTACCGGTCTCAAAATGAATGTAAGACAATATAATAAATATAAAATATATACATGATTAAACAGCTAATTTAACATACTGAATCGGCGACTCCAGCTATTACTGGTCACGTGACATATAATGGGTAAACATCAACATCGTAATCCACAGTGCGCTCATTGAACACAGTACAGTATATTGAGAGTTGTTATGACAGCGACCAGAAGTGAAGTTAGGCAGTAGGCCTGTTTTTTTTAATAGTGATTTATAATTACTTCGGCAATCTCCGTACATTTTATTGAAGCTCTGGAATGCTGCTAGTTTGCGGTAGGCTACATGTATATGCCTAGGCTGTACTGGAGTGTTAAGCCTCGACCATGGCCCAGAGCAGGGAGGGAGTTGTTACGCCACGTCCACGACTATATATCTGTAGTCGAGTACTGTAGGTAATAAAGTAGAAAATAACCCTTAACTGTACTGATTGCTCAACCAAATTTGTGAAACAGGCTGGTGATAGTAGGCCTGGTTGGTATGGTACATCCTAATGCCAGTACGTATTAAAATATCTGTTATGTCATATGATTTAATTTTGGATTTAAATAACTGTAAAATAATAATTTTTGCAACGAATGGACAGATTCTTTTTTTCCATGCTGCGATAGCATTTGCCATGAATATTCTTGACTTAGGCCTATGCCTAAAAAGTACCTCAGCCGGCGACGACTCACTGGAGCAATATGCACGTCGTGAAGGTACCGTACCTTTCCTTGAAAAACGTCCAGGATTTTTTTCCCACTCCATTGGAGTCTTACCAAACCAAACTCTTAAGTGTTTGAAAATTTAATTTTCGAACACTTCTAAGTGATTTACCAAATTATAATTCGCATTCCAACCAACATTTGCAACATCTATGATCTGACTTACATCAACAACAAGGCGAAGCCATACACTATCGTCTCCCTCTCCCGATCTCGATAGATGTAAACAAACTCTAATACCCACTATAAGTCACTGGACCTGAGCAGCCGATTTGGTCTGCTGTTGGAACTTACCAGTCTCGAAGTCATCACTGTAAACTTTAACTTCACAAATAGTTATAAAATTCTGTGTTGCAAGCCTTAGTTTCACATAACGTCCCTTAACTGGTGGGTCGCAGAAAAATTCAACCAATGGCGATCTTGTGACGTCGTCTTCTGATACTGGTTCACCACATTGAATTCCGTTGGTCAGGCCGTCAGTAGAATTGAGGACCTTGATCTCAGCACCAACAAGTCTTTTGTTATATACAGGGTCGGGAGCTTCACAGAAAATTACATTGGCATATGAGCATGAAAATAGGTTCAGCATTATTAGTAAAGACGAGGCATTACTTACTATAACGTTTATAATAATGATGTTGATGAGGATAATTATAATGTTAATAAGATGATGATGGTGATCGTAACGGTGATGATGATGAGGCTAAAAAAATTGTTTGTTTGTCCTCCTCCACCTGTCCCTAACTCACTGAAAAAAGGGTTAGGAAAAACAAAAAACTTAAAGGAATTTTTTTTTTTTCAGCTTTTTTCTTTAAAAATTAAAAAAGAATGTGAGTGAATTTATCTTTATTTTTTGCCAGATGCCCTACAAATTAGACTAAAGATGTTGTCTGATGTAAGATATTGCCATTCTAGGCCTCTGTGGGTTATTTTTATTCCATCTGGTAAGTATTTAAAAATAGATAAATAAATTTAAAAAACTTTTTCCACCCGCCCCTATTTATCTTTTTTTTTTTAAAGAAGGGCAAACAAACAATTTATTTTACTTGGCCTGATGGTGATGCTGATAATGATGTTGACGATGATAAGTAAGAGGATGATGGTAAATAGGATTATGAGGATTATTATTTTTTATTTTGAGATCATCGGTGTTACTTATCTGATAGTAAACTGCCGTGTAAACATAGCTATTATTGATGGTGGTGGAGATGATGATTTTGATAACAATGATGATAAAAATGATGATAATGATGCGGATTGTGATGATGATGATAATGTTAGGCATTATTGTGATGAGCATAATGATGCTGGTGATAAGTATAATTATGTTGAATTTTATTATTATGAAGACGACGACGACGACGACGACGACGACGATGATGATGATGATGATGATGATGATGATGATGATTTATATTTAAGAATATTTTCTTAAATGCTATTAATACAGTAGTGTTAATTACTTATCCGGTTAATAACAATCACGGATGAGATAAAATAGTCGCCTTCAAGATCAATCTGCAACCATTCAGGAATAGAATACTTCTCTTCAAGAAAAAGAAATAATATAATGTACTCTCAGTAGGTAATATTGAAATTAATAACGGAATTCGCTGTGAACTATCTCCAATCATCGGTTACGACATTTGACCGTGCATTTTGACCTTTCACCACATTTTCAAAATGAATTACCAACCAAAAATAATTTATTTTAACCACCCTACGCCAGTTTCGTAAGTAAAATTGTCTGCATCTCAAAGTGGGCAGGGGGTAAACTTCCCCTCCCCTAACGGTTTTTACCGGGCTGACCAAGCCGTCGTACCGGGCTGGGTAATAAAGAGAAAAGAAAGAGGGGAGAGGAAGGGAAAGAGAAAGAAGAGGAAAAGAAAAGGAAAGAAAAAGAGAAAAATAAAAAGGAAGATATCAACGACCAGACTCACAACACCCTGCAACCCCTTCTCCACTTCAAAAACTGTCATAACTCCTTTGATCTATGCTGCCTGATGGCGTAACCACTGGGGGACAAGGGGACAATATCTATCTTCGAAAAATCTTCCCCACCCCTTTATAAATGCCCTTTTCATCCCCTGAATGTGCCTAAAAACCTCTAATTTCGCGCCCTTCGCGCGCATTTCTTGTTAACATGGACCAATTTCCTCTAAAAATTGCACATTTTAGGGAGTTTTGATCAATTCCAACGAAATTATAATTAAAGACACAGGGGAACAAGGGGAAAATATCCGTCTTTGGAAAATCTTTCCCCACCCCTTGACAAATGCATCCTCTGAAAGTGCCTAAAATTCTCAAATTCTTTGCGCGCATTTCTTGTTACGGAGGCCAATTTCCTCTATAAATTGCATATTTTAGGGAGTTTTCATCAATTCCGACGAAATTAGAATTAAAAACACAAAAATATTTGGCGCGCTTAGCGCGCATTTTTATTAGGGCTTTTTTAGGTTTATCCTTTTAAGTTATTTAAACACATAATAGTCCCAAACTCAAGAAAGACAAATTTAAGATAGATCGTTTTAACCTAAAAGAAGGGCCTCAATGTGTATTGATGATGAAAGAATATGTTTGTAATAAATAAAACCATGATGAAAATGCTTATATTTAGTTTTAAACACACGTGTGTGGCCTATATTATAAATAAGATAAGCAATATGTCGTATTGTTTTCTATATGTGGAGTGGGGTGGGGGGGGGATGGTAAATTACTAACCGGGAAAATAAATACCCACTCTGACCCAAGACCCCTGTTACGCGCCTGGTGTTAGCGCCAATGTGTGCCCTTGTGCGGACAGGGGATGTGCCCCCCTCTGAAGCTGGAAACCTTGTTTTTGCAAAATAAATTGATGCAATTTGCTATTATAGGCCTAATCAATAAATTCCTCATCAACCTATATAACCTTAAACATTCTTGGAATTGACATAACATTACTGATGTCGTACACACCCTTCAGTGTGAAATGTGGCTCTCTTTGCAAGCACATCTAACATCTAAGGAACGAAGAGCTTAGATTGGTACCAGATAAAATAATTTTGTTATCAATATTAATACATTATGCTAATTGTAAGCGCATAAGACAGTGCAAATTATTTCTGTGACAGTCTTTTGAAGTGTGTAACACTCCATTTTATCCCATATATAGTCAAAATATTGGGGGGGGGGGTGATACAATGGCCCATTCCCCCTTGTCAAATAATGGGGGGATATAACCCCCATCCCCCCGGGATCTACGCCTATGGGAAGGAGTACTCTCCGAAAGCTCCGCCAGTTCTGTTTCCGATTGTTAACTTACGTTTACATTTTAACTGTTTCTTATCAATTCTGTATCGCTATCCAAATCCAGGTATTTTTTCACAATTGTAACTAGTTTAACAATAAAATGCATTAATTATCCTACTAGACATCAGAAGGATGAAACTCACTTGAGTGGAAGCATTTAGAACTTGCTTCATCTCCATCGGTTGACTGGTAAGGGTAACCACTCCCATAAACTGATGAAGACGTTGCTGGCTTCTTATAAGATATCAGTGCTACAAAAAGTATTTTTTTAAAATATTATATTATTATTATTTTTTTTTTTAATATTATATTATTATTATTATTATTATTATTATTATTATTATTATTATTATTATTATTATTATTATTATTATTATTATCATTATTATTATTATTATTATTATTATTATAAAAAAAAAAAAAAAAATTACTATTACTATTATTACTATTACTATTATTACTATTACTATTATTACTATTACTATTACTATTACTATTACTATTACTATTAC